TTTCATAGCTTGGGTTAGAAGACAACTCGAGTAAGGGTTCTCTGCTCATGAATAAATAATTCAAAGGCAGTTTATGTATTGAAGATGTGGTATTAACGGTTTGATTCTGACAGTGCTGACTCTGTCAGACAAACCCTCCATAAATGTGACAATCCCCAAGGAATTCATGTTGCAATATATACTTAGGGCCTACTCTGTGCTGGGACTTTGAATAGACCAATAAAATAGACAAATCTCTGGCAATTCAACCAAGGGGCAAAAGGAAATATTAAATTCAGTCTGTGCTGGTATAATACAGTAGCTGATTTATTTTTTTTTAAATTCACATGATCACAAGTCACATTATAAAAACAATAAAAATAAATAATTGTTTTTCATGAAATAAAAAGCCAAGACAATTTTTCAAAAGAAGAATAATGATAACTCTTTCTTTATGAAATGTTATAATATATTAAAAAGCTATGGGGATGAAATGAGAATGATACTGATGCAGGAATGGGCAGATTAATGGAATGAAAAGAATCTACAAATGACGGACTTGAGTATAAGTGAGAAATATGTATGTGATAAAGAAGACATTTGAGTCAATGAGGGAAAGGATGAATTAATCAATAAATCATATTGAGACAAATGGCTCACCATTAATAAAAAGAAAAATTATATTCCTAATCTCATACCTTATAGGAAAATAAATTCTAGATGGATTAATACTATTGAAGTATAAGAAATATCACTGGTAGGTATTTGAGATGGGGAGGTTCTTTCCAAGGATGACATCAAATTCAGTTATCACAAAGTAAAAAAATGCTAGATGTGATCTCATTAAAAAATATATAAATTTTTGTATGGGAATTTAAAAAGCCCATATATAAAAATCAAAAAAGAAATAAAAGTTAATGTAATTTGGAAACTGATGTCAATATAATTTCATTTTACCCCCAGGTTGTTAAGCCCTGTGAATAAGGATTATATGTCTTAATCTATAGAAATATATAGGAAAAAAAAGTATACAAGGATATACCCCTGTGTAAGTTCTATCTGGGTGGTGAGTATACAGTTGATATGTTTTTTTCTTTATATTTTCTTGTACTTTTAAATTTAATTTTCGTGATGATCATATATTCCTTCCTTTTATAATCAGCAAAATAATATTGCTATCAAAATTGCTTACTGGTTCTACCTGTATTTCTTGAAAATTCTTACATCACAAATATTGGATACTAACTATAGCTAAGAATCTTGCAAAAAGAAGTCTGAGTTTAATTTAGCCAGGACTTCAAAGTAACTGAGGTTTCCTAATCACTGGGGTGTGGCAGGTAATATTTTAACATTTTATACTTTGGTCGTTCATTGCATTATAGAATTTGCTCACAGTCCATATATAAGGTAATGATATGTCATTTTGTAGAGTAACTCCCTGTATACTCCTAAATATTGCAATGAGAAAGTTTATTAAACAAATATACAAGTGCTGAGACTATTGTCTTACATTCTATTTATTTCCTTTGACCAGAGACCAGTGAATCTGTCAAAATAATTCATGTCATTGCATAAGAATAAGTGTCCACAGACTATTTGATAAGACAATTATAAAATTCTCACGTGAGAATCGTATCTTAAGATATAGAATATGAGAATTATATAAATAATATGAAAATTATATCTTAATAAATATGAAACCGAACTCCAATGCTTTTCCATTTACCTTTGCACTAAGAATTTTTTTTTCTTAGCAAGCATCTGGGATTTTGTAAATTAATGAAATAAATATTGATTACTGACATATTTCCTAATATTGAGAACTTCAAGGAACTTAAAATAATCACTGTGACATGTCTTCGCACAATCTAAATTTTCTGGAGTCCATGAAAATATACTTTGAGTAAGAGAGACAGCAATGATGGTCATTGGTATCTCTCTAGACAAATTATTCAAAGGAAATATTCCTTTCAAAGAGAACAGTGTCTAGAAAGAGCATGGTCTCTGGAAGCAGACAGCCTTGTGGCTCCACCCAGGCTCCCTCACACTTACAGTCTCTGTGTTCTTGGGCAAACTCCTTGACCGCATGAGTTCATTTCCATACCTGCAAGATGGGGAGGGTAACATCTACCTTGTGGTCATTACTGAGGGTGCGTATGTAAAGCACCAGGCACATGTTAGGCATTCAGAGAAATAACGACTATTACTGAGGGCAGATGAGAGGATGACAAGCCTCTTGTGCTGCCGGGAGAAAGCTGGCAGATTCTCCACCAAGAGAGGCTCACAGAGGAGGAAACAGAACCTCAGTGAATTTACTTCCATCCAGGTGTGAAGCCACCAAGCTGCAAAACGAATGATCACAGGGAAGAGGACTGACCCTGTTCAAGTTCAGTCAACAGCTCATTGATTTAAAGTGGAACATGCTCCATTTTCATGCCTGAAGTGACCACATCCCTCAATCAGGCACCCCCTTCCTTATATTGAAATGATTCAATTATTTTAGGAAGGATGGACTCAAAATAAGAAAGGCAGAGTCATGAAGGAAGTTTCACCTGGGCCACAGTGAGGCCTGAGGACCTACCACTGACCCCACCTCATCAGCACACAGAAACTCAGTATCTCCCAAAGCTGGAGGTCTCTCTGCAGGTAGTACCAGACAAACACTGCCATGTTCGGAATCTCTGAGCTTTCCTTTTTCTTTGTCTTTTTCTTTTTCTTTTTTTGGAGACAGAGCCTCACTCTGTTGCCCAGGCTGGAGTGCAGTGGTGTCATCATAGCTCACTGCAACCTCAAACTCCTGGGCTCAAGCAATCCTCCTGCCTCAGCCACCACCACAGCCAGCTAATTTTGAGCTTTCCTGTCTCAATGTCCAAGGCTAACAATCCATCCTCATTCTGTCCACACAAGCCTTTCCCAGAGCAAGAAAAATACAATGCATTGGCTTCCACTTACTAAGTTACAATCACCTCCAGTGCTCCCCAGCACCCCTGCCCACCAACCCCTGCCATAGCAAGATAACCTTGGTGAAAGTGTTGGGTGTTCCCTTAGTTAGTCAATCTCATCAACTGCCTGAGAATTTTACTAGGATAACCACAAAGAACTGTCTGATTTCCTTGTTTCCAAGTCCTTGAAGGAAGCTCATTGCTTCCCCATGAAAACTAAGTAATTTTTACTGTTGTTTCTGTTGATTGAATGAATGGATGGATGGATGGACGGGTAGATGAAAAATGGATAGACGGAATATGAACAGAATGTAGTAACACTGTGCTGGACATCAGCAATAAACAAGCCCTTGCTATCTTATGTGGCACCCCAGAATGACAAGGCGGACAAAACCCCTTGGTCTTCTGACATATGTTCTTAGCCTGACTTTGGATTCAAGGAATGCAAAAACAAAGAATTACATGAAGCTTAAAGAGATGAGAAGCTGTCTAGTCAAAAGCAGTCTCTTACTTTAAAGTTCACCTTTAACCAAGAATTCATTGAGGTTTTAGTACATTCTGGTCTCCCACAAGTACTATACTGAATTGATTGTACTCTGAGCCAGAGACCCAGCTCTGTCCAGGTTGACCTTGAACAATTCATTCAGTTCTATTAAGGGTGTTTAAGTCCTTTCTGTGCAAGAAGAGGATACTAATTTTAGCCCTCAATCCTCCCTCAGGAATGTAGTAAGGACAGAGCCACAGTATATGGGATATAGTACAAGCTCCTACAAAAAGAGGTCTGTGAATTTACATGACGAACAGAGAGAAATTAGCAATATTCTCAGTATCAAGCTGCTTTTCCTCCTTTTAAGCACATTTCTCTGCTTAAAGTTGATGGTGAGCTGATACACATGCTAAGCATGCTGCTATTTGAAATCAGTATCCAGCTTGCTGGTGATTCTCATTTTGGGGATTCACTGAGCACAAATCTATTTTCTAGAGAAGAACAAGAAATGCAACCATAAAGGTCCACCTTGTTGAAAAACATCCAAGTAATCTATACCTAGAATCACCCCAAAAGAGAGTGCTACCTTCCCATTCAGCCCTCTGAGCAATGCAATTCTGCGCACACAATGTCACAGCAATATGAGATGAGCAGTGGAAGGTTTTCCTAAAAACAAAAACAAAAAAATCCCCCCCTCCCCTCCAAAAGCCCAGAAAGAGTCACGGGCAAGCAGCAACTCCTTGCTGGACACTGGAATGGAATGTGCTCACATCATTCTCTGAACAGGCAGAAAGCAACATTCTGCAACCAGTGGGATCCTTGTGACACTGACAGAGCTTTCTCCTGGGCTATAATCAATTACAACGCTTAAGTGCATTATGTGTTTTTCCCCCCACATCCTCCAGTAAACTATGAAGGTGCATTATGTTTTAAAGAAAAAATAAACAGCTCTCACACGTATGCACTCTCTCTCTTCCTCTCTCTTTTTAACATGGTGTAATGGAGACCCAACCAAGTCAAATCACATAAAAGCCATCTTTGACCAACTGCTTGTTCTCATAGAACACTTGCAAAATTGTTAAGGTAGAAATAAAATAAATGAATAATCTGAAATACATGGCTGTATTCTTAGATCACACTGTTTTATCTCCCTTTTCTCCATATCAAGAAAGAAAATATTAATATTTTTAATGAAAAAAAAAACCCCATTCTGTTAAATGTACCTTTTGGAGCCTCTGAGCAAACACACCCCGCACCTATGCACAGAAGAAAAGCCCTGGCACACAACCTCACCCGCCCTGTGGAGCATTCCCGTCCAATTTCTATCTATAGCCACCGCATTTCACATGTACACACCCTCCACCCCGTCCACACGCACACTGCAATCTCATGCTTGCAGAAATTGGAATGCTGTAACAATGCCCTGAATTGGAGAAATTCACAAGAAAAGCCAAGAGATGGTTTCCTGATTGAATGAAAAAGGCTGGTTCGGTTGGCGGCAGTGCCTTCACGGCAGGGCAGGCTCTGCCCAGCTCTCCGGAGTGTGATCTGCATGTCTAATAATGGCATGGGTTCCCGGGATCAGCGCTTACCTTGGAATGCTGCAGCAGAAGTATCTGCTCGTCAAGCTGTTGTCGCTTGCCTTCTATTTCAGTCTGCCTCTTTCTTTTTTCCTTGAAAATAAAGAGGGAGAGGCTGTAAGAGTGGGTGGGTGTTGGCTCCAGAAATTTTAAGGCAGGAAGCAGCAGCAGCAGCACACATCTGTATAGACACTTCCAGAGACACCAAGCACACACGCAGCGTCACCTGCCCCACCGTCTCTGGGTGTGTTGCAAGCAGCAGCAGTCTCCTAACATGTCTGCTGTGGGCTCAAAGAGTGGGAGAAATTCTCCTCACTCAGCTAGGCTGCAAAATTTAATCCAAAAGAATAGGCGGTTTCTATACACACACACACACACACACACACAGAGCCATGCTCTGTGCAGTTTTCATTTGGAGACAAAGAATAAAAATGTCTCAATCCAAAAGACAGGTTGTTACAAACTGCAGATATGATAGAATAAAACAGTAGGAAATTCTAGGGTTATTCTTTTAACAAAATGATAATACATGAATAATCTGATATAATTTCAAATTTTGTAGGACAAATCATCCAGTTGGATATACCAAACAATGCAAATGAGATGGGTGATCTTTGCTTCAACTAGCCTTGGGGGGGAGCATTTCCTGTGGGTGGGGCTCACCGAGGTTATGGGAAATATGAAGTTTGGAATCCGTCTGCCTGGGTCCCACTCTCAGCCCTGCCACTTGCTACCTGAGTGACCTCTGGTAAGTTCTTTCGCCTCTCTGGGTGTGAGTGCTCTCCCACATAAAGTGGAGATAATAATGGTACCCAGACCACATAAGGTGTGGATTAAATGAGTTGATGCACATAAAGGGCCTGTAACGGTGCCTGGCACACAGTAAGCACTAAATCGATGTTATTTGCTATTATTCTGATTGTCACATGTTCACTTCTAGGTAATGCCTAGAAACTGGCTTTAAAGGGATGCATTTTGCTTGCATTTCCACCATAACCTTTCCATTAGAGTGGACTCTTCATATTTTTCTTCTCCATACTTCTTCAGTGCAGACAATAAATACCATATGAATGTGATTCATGAGAACAGAAAGGCCTGCTCTTAGGATGGCTTCCTCGGTAATGTTTTGTTTCCAAAGTGTGCAGAGCTAGTTTACGGAGACATTGACTGCACTGAATCATTTTCCTTCACTCACATATGCAGGGAGAAACTTGTTAGACAAGACATAATGGCATTTTACAATGCAACAGCCAAATCCCAGAGAAGACAATAATGTAAAGCTTGGCTGCAGTACTCTGTGTTAACGGAAGCATTTATTTTATGTAGTTACTATGTTTTTGGGGATGTGATTACACCACTACTATCCAAATCAATGTGATAATAATTTGTGTTATAGCCAGGTTTTCTGTGCAAAGCCCAGACTTTAAGAAATACTAGCTCATGGCCAGGCACGGTGGCTCATGCCTGTAATCCTAGCACTCTGGGAGGCCAAGGCGGGAGGATCACTCAAGGTCAGGAGTTCTACTTATACCTCATCTCTGTCTGGACTACTGAAGGGGTTTTCTTACTAGTCTCCCTGCCTCCAAGTCTTGGCTTCTCCAAGTCACCTTCCACATTGCTGCCCAAGTGATATTCTCAAACAGAAATCTGATCACTTCCACCCCTTGTCTAAAACCCAGAATGTCTCCCCATTCATTGCCTAGTGCAAAGAGCAAGCTCCTCAGCCCGGCCAAGGAGGCTCCCATCTATCTCACAGCTTCATCAAAGCCATGACCCCCTAGCCAGATGTTTCAACTTCAACAGCTACTTGCAGTCTCCCAGTCTTCCAGGCTGGTTCATGTCTTCCTAGGTTTGCCCTTGCTGCTTCCTCTAATAATAATGGATGTCCCTTGTTGCTTCATTTGGCAAAAAAGTGCTCATCTTTGACAGCACACTTTAAATATCAATGAAGATATAGTGAACACCTGTCCATTTTGATCTTTCCAGTCCTTTCTCCTTTGGGAACACATCTACCCTGACTGTAAACGGCTCTGGTGGAAATGACAGTCCTGGTTAGTCCCGGATACCCCAGTGCATCCTGCCACCAGGACTTGCTTGTGAGCCAGGCTGGGCTGATCATACGACCTTATCTCTTTGCAACAGCTATCGATCCAAGGGATGGCTAAGTGAATCAAATAAGACCAATTAGAGACATTTCTAGGGACAGACACATGAATAACCTATCACCAGGGTTAAGCCGAGACGATGTACTTCTGAGTGGCAATTTTCCCACCCACATGGAAGAAATGCATCTATCTTGGAGAAAATGAGGCCAACACACAGAGGGAAGCAGAGTTGAAAGTCAGAGAAAAAAGGATCCTAATACATTGTTTGAGTCCCAGATCTAGTCACACATGAAGCCAGAACCATCCTGGGCTTCCTAACTTGTATACACTAATAAATCTCCCTTTTGTTTAACCTAGTTTGTGTGATGTTTCTGTCACTTACAACTCAAAGAGTATATAGAAGCCTTTTCGGTTGCCTCCAAATAGACCCATCACTCCCTCCTTTCTCTTTGCCCTTCACTGGCTGTGGATTTTTCTACATTAGTACCTTGAGTACTTTAGCCCTTTCTACACTTAACTGTGTACACATCTTCTCCCTCTAACAAACTATGGGCTCCCTGAGGACAAGGATCTTGGCTGATGCATTTCTAAAGCCTGGAACATTGTGTGAGTAACACAAGTAATACATGTCTAGTTGAGTATCTCTGAATGAACTATACATTGTGTTCTCCTCTGATTGCATTTGTTTGTCCACATCCCTCATTCAAATGCATTATGTATTTGCACTCATGACTTCAGTGGCAGCAAAATACATTATTGAAAACTCATCATCATCAGTCCATAAAACCAGAACTGTCCTAACGCTGAAGACATTAACCCATATGGAATAGATCACCGTTGCTATGCATAGGACAAAAGAGTCGAAAAACCTATTTCTGGGAAAGAACCATGGAAAGCTCACTGTGGGGAAAAAGGCTAGGGGAAGTAGAAATTCCAGGGACAAGCATGATGAGCTGACAGTAGCAAACCATTCAGGGGGAATGTGCCTCAAGAGACATCTGGAATGGAGTGATCTCAATCCATTAGGAAGATCTCCAAATTCCTCCACTATCTGGGAGGCCTAGCAAGTCACTTGCATTATCTTTCTGTAAATGATATATTTTCCTGGCAAGTATTTTCTGGAAGTATTGCGACATTATGAATGCTGTAAACTTTGAGTATAGCAAGGGGCACCCATAGAGAATGTAGCACATTTCTGTTCAAAGGTGGCTAACAAATACGACGGGAAGACAGGTATTATAGGTACCTGTAGTTAGGGAAGCCTATTTCCACCTTCTCCTCCCTTGCTGGCTGTGCTACAAGCTGGGCGTGCAGGGTGATGGCTGGAGAGAAGAGGGATGTCCCAGATGAGTTTGTGAGAAACAGGAAGAAGGGAAGAGGCTGAGCAGGAAGTGCAGTCGGAAGCCGGGACATGGTGATTCCTTTTCTCCCCTGAAGCCCTATCCTGACTTGCGGTGATATTTAGCATCCCAGTGCACAACAGTGGGAAGGAACCAGAAGACCTACTCAGGAGATCCCAGAATTTAGGTAAGAGGGGAGAAAAGAAACTATATTAAATTGGTAAATGTTGCAATATTTATTCCTCCTGTTGATAGATAAAGAGAATCCTGCCTTGACTCCTTCCGTGGAGAGCTAAAGGGAATTTTGTGCCCCTCCCTGTCATACACACCTTGTAAGTGACTTTTTAACCAGCTGGTTCCTAGGCTTTTGCAATGAAGAATCAGAGAAAGAGGTTAAAGTACTAAAAAAAGAAACAGACTGCCTTAAATAGCTTGCACTTGGAAAGGGAATGGGGGGAAGGTAGATAAGGGGAAAATTGAAGATCGAGAAAAGGAGAGAAGGAATGAAGAAGCGAAGAACTGAAAGGGCTTGAGATAGTTTGAAGTTTAAGAGCTTAAAAGGGAGGGGCGGAGATATTAAGATCCAAAAATCAAGAAAAGGGACTTTTCAGATATTTTACTGTGGCTTATGAAATGAATCGCCTTTGACGTTCTCCATAAGATTCCAGTAAGGATACTGGAATTACTTTTGCCAGCTAGATTGTATTTCTTTGAATGTGGCTTCATGCTAAAACTGTATTGCCAGGGTGCCCAGGTTTTATATAGGTTATACTAAGAAAAAGGTGACATTTTGAGAATTAAATTATGAAAAATCAACTTGCAAACAGGGACCCAATGAGCTTTTTCTGTTAAGGAATCAGAATGTTGTCTCAGGCATGTTTGGATTATAATTATCTATTTAGTGCTGCTGCAGAGTCAATGCTATTTATATATCCAAAGGAAAAGAAGGGGGATGGTCTGTCTGAAGAATGAGAACCTGAGGGATCAAGCATAAAAAAACCAAGGAGGTGCCCATTCAGCTTTGTCCAATTGCCCATCCAGCTAACAATGAACGTTGAGTTCGCCAAGCAGACACGTCCGTAAGAGAGACCAGTTACCTCACCTCAATGCCACTAGATATTAAAACTCACTCTCCTGGCTCCAAATTAAAGGTCAACAATCGTGATCCTGATTATATTCAGGCTTCCCAAGGAGTCAGTTGAATGGAGAGATGACACCTGTTAAGCCCCCTGCAATGTCCGTCCACTGAAAAATGAATAAACTGGCACTTGGGTTTGTAGATGAGTGTACTGAAAGCTGAGATGGGATAGGATTTTCTGATCCTGCGAAACTAAGGAACAGAACTCGCAGCCACTTTAAATGATAACCTTAAAAGGCATGGTCAAACGGACAAGAAAACTAGGTTTTCTACATTTTTCTGCCCAGCCACAGACCCATTTAACCTACGGCATCCCCATGTGAAGTGGAGAATTCTACAACTTTATTCATTCATCACTGCTTAGTTTTGACCAGGGTTTCCATTTATGTAACTTCTCCTTTACTCAACTGATTATTTGGCCTTGAGCTTGCCATCTATTGGTAAAAGAGGGAACCGCCTGTTTTGTTTTGTTTGTTTACTGATGCATAATATTTGTACATATTTATGGAG